AAAAAAACCCCCAGTCACCCTGGTAAATTCTTCTCCTTCAGGGAATTTCGGCAGCAAATTGCAAACCTTTTTCCTCGCAAACCTCCCGGCTGGCTGGTCTTCCCCGGTTACAGCTGTCTGCTCGTGCTCTCCCTTCTTTTTTTTTCTTTTTGATCAGTTACTAGAACAGCCCAGAGACCCCACAGAAACACAGGAAAATACGGGAACTCCCCTGCTCAATTTGCCGTATCGCCGTGAAGACGTCTGCTTAACACACCTCCCGCTTCTTCTTTCGAGCAAGCCACTCGCCGGCGATTTGCTGCATCTTTTGCGCCGGTGCGTCCGGGCGAACGAGTAAATTAGCCCTCAGAAACGCCTCCATCACAACAGAATCCTCGCTCCTAGCACAGAGCCACGGCTCGTCTGCGAGAGGGGAAAACGAGCGGGGAAAATGAGTGTCCCACGTTTCCGACATTTTCCCTGATTTAAAAATGTTTGGGTGGAAGAACCCAGCTCGAGCCAGCCCAGCTGAGGTTGTGGCTGAGGGCTGTATGGCTGGCTAATTTTGAAGGACGGTAAACTTCCCCAGATTCAAGCATCTGAATTTCACACCTGGAATTTAAAAAAGAGCCTCCAGTCTTTTCAGCAAGAGCGCCATAATTTTCTAATAGCGAAGGTGCTATAATTTTCTCAGCATGGCTTCCGAGTGAAGAGTCTGGGACAGCTTAGGGGAGGAAAACCAGATTGGAGATTTATTCTGTGTTCAAGTGGAACAGCACTGGGCCTGCTGAGTGAACTGTCCCGAGAGGTCCACCCCAGGCAGAAAAACCTTTCCCATGCCGGAGGCCTTAGGATTATGGGATAATGAAAATGCATATTTTTTTCCTGGTAAAGTCAGCCTGTTAATGTCCGGAGATTTCAGTGGAAAATTGAACGACCTCAGATTTTCATAAAATAATTGTTCTGTAAGGTCTGAGACCAAGCATGGTGGCTTTTTGCATAGCTGTAAACTCCTGTAGCTTCTCCAGTACAGTATTCATCACTGTTCCTTTTAGGTATTTTCTCAATGTCCAAGAAAACTTGCACTTAAAGAAGCCCTCTCAAGTGGAAAGCAGTACACAAAGCCTGCTAAGATGCGACCACATGTCCTGGCCAGCCGTACATCTTCCAATGTATTGTTTTCCAGAACGCTGACTCAGCAACAAGGCACATGGCTCGGAGCAGCCCTGATGGCACAAAGGAAAACTTCAGGCTGACCAGAGCTTCAAGCACCACCCCTCGCTGGCAGAAGGGAGACCACCACCAAGTTTTGCTTTCAACATGTCAGCTGTGAGAGAAACCCCCTGAGAAAGGAAGCCAAACAGCCAGAGACCAACAGGGAGTTTCTCTGTGGGCAGATGAAAAAAGCAAAGCTCTCTCTCGGTGGGTCCAGCATTGCTCACAGCCAGCAAAGCTGCCCAGTTCCCGAGGCTGCTAGTGCCAAACAGTGCCTTTTACTCCAGGGGACTTAAGAAAAACAACGGGAAAGAACACGGCACCTTCTATCAGTTATGCTCCACGCTGTGTGGTTGAGCAAACCTTAGCTTCCACCTCCAGGGCAGGGCTCTCCTCCTGGGCCACAGTCCCCGGTGTTCTGGGCCGTCGTCCAGTCCCTGTCAGGATGCCAGCTTCACCCATGGTGTCACAGCTGGTAGCTCTTTCGGGCGGAAGTGGGGTGGGCTGGCGCCTGCCGCCTGCCTGGCCAAAAAGCAACGGGCCGTCCTCCAGCAGGCTCTCAGGGATGTCAAGACCTGCTGCCACGCAACGAGCCACCCCGGTCAATGCACACAGCCCTGGAAATTGCCTCTCTGTGCACTGCAGAACCTTCTCCTACTCCAGACGTTGGCGGCTTTGTTTGCGGTGCCCCTTCTCTGCCCCAGCCCTCCCCGTCTTGCCGGAGCAGATGTGCCTGCTTCCCCCAGCAGCGCCTGTCCCCCACCCCCGGGACGTCTCCTGGCTCTTGGGGAGATTGTGGCCACCCTGACACTCCCTCTTGCTGTAGGAGGAGAACATCCCTGGGGCCATAGGTGCCCCTTTTGTTCAGAACAACACCGTAAGATCCACCTCCAAAACCCCCTCAAAATCTAGCCCTCCTTTCCTGGGAAGAGCAGATTAAAAGCATCAGCCATGAAGAACAAAACCCTAACGTGGTCTCTTAACCACCCTCCACTGGAGTTACCCCCCTCGCTGACATCTGGAGGCCCAAAGTATGATCTCTGTAGAACCCATCTACCTTGTAGGACTGGAACGAAGGCCTAAATCACTAACACAACCCCGTGTGTAGGCAGCAGCCCCCAGTCCTG